AAGTTTTACATGAATTAATATCAAATTTGTCTTTATATAAATTAGTTCAACATGATATCACGTTTCGTATGACAACAATGATAATATCCTTGACAAGATATGATGGTGAGTTTTTGAATTAAAGAAATTAAAATCATTGGATGGGTTTAAAAAAATTATATTAACTTTGATATGATATTTAAAAATGATTAAATAATTTTTTTAAAAAAGTATATTAAGTTTTTAAAAACGGTGACAATAGTTGCAAGGTGGTGAAAGTAATTATAATTTTTTATGCATAAATAATGAAGTATTATGCAGCTAAGTTTTGCATTAATTAATATCAATTTAGTCTTTATATAAATTAGGTAAGCATCATCTCTACAGCGTTTCGTATTTCATCATTTGTAAAAATCGAATTTTTTAAATCTTCTAGTAGCCCATATTTAATATGACAAAAAAAAACTTTATTGTGGAAAATTTATTTTACAAAAGAAAGCCTTGAAGATAAATAATCTAAGTTTTATGGTTGGGAACTGCATCCTCTTAAAATCTTCGATTTTCCTTTTCTAATGCAAAATATAAATGTACAAAAATTCAGCATCAAATTATTAGTGTCCAGCTTGTACTCCATCATAAGGACCAGACATTCCCTGGTCCCAAATTGTGCCATCTGTGGATCTATCGTAGATTTTCTGTACTTATTGAGAATGACAGACGAAGTTGTGATGAAATTATATGGAATATAATTAACCAAAAACGAGAAATCGAACGTTTTGTTTTGCTTGCTTATTTTATTTCTAAAAAGACTTTGAAATTCAACGAGAAAAATAAAACTGAAGAAGAAGAGAACCCTTTACGTTATATCATGCAACTGTTGATAGAAAAGACGTAAAGTAAATAATAATAGTAGGATGAAAGGTCGTGCGTTGCCAGGGCTTGCTGTCTGTCCCATCCTTTACTTTCCTTTCCCTTCCCAATAATATTTTACCCTCTGCCTTCCTCTGCTCTCCGCAGCCTTCAAAAACCGTAACTTGACGCACGTACACATGCAGTAATGGCGTCCCTCTCCCTTCTCTCTCTCTCCTTTTTCTTCTTTGCTTTTCTTTTATCCTATTGACTGTTTTTAAGTTTAATATAAATTGTTTGATTAAAATTTTTTTAATTCAGGTGGTCACAAAATAATGCATTACGGTAAGAAATTTTTGGATAGTGATAGAATGATGTATGCTCTTGACATCCTCTTATACTGCATACAAATAAATTTAAAAATTAATCAAATAAAAATGATTAAAATCTAAAAAATAGAATAAGCAAATTACAAAAATAGCAAGTTAAACTTTTTTCTTTATAAAAGTTAAACAAGTTAAACCATTTTAGTTTTTTAATCCATTTATGTCTTTATTTCTTTTTTCTTGTACAAAAATTAATCATGATGTAACTATATATATTAACATGTTCTATTATTATTTTTTAAATATTATAATCGAATCTCTAAATTTTAAATTGATGTGGTAGTAAAAAACAGATATATATATTTTTAATTGTATGGGTTTAAATCTTATGATGAAAATATAAAAAAATATTATTTTTTTTCTGAATATACTAAACCAATGTAAAACGTATGAAAATACCGATATGGATGAATGTTGAAAAAGAAATGGCCATCAGACACGGATATCTAAGTATTAATGAAGTAATTTTATTATTCCAAGCAAACTAACAAATCACGACACACAAATCAAGAAAACAAGTATGTTTCGTAGGAAAAGATGACAACGTGTGTTTACATGAGATTTGGGCGGCGTAGGAATCATTGCTCAAGCTTGCAGTCATTGCCTGGAAGCATGCATTCCCTCCTTCCTTGACGGTTTGAGTATATCTTTTCGTCTAGAAATGGAGTATTGCCATCCCTCCAAATTACAATCACTTTCAAAATTCAGCATCCAGGGGGTGAGGATGTGGAATCCTTACCTGAAGAGACGCTTCCGTGCTCAAAATTAGCAATTTTAGCCGTTTAATTTAGACGTTAAAACGAAGATAAATTATCCTACTGATTATCTTTAAGTTTTATATAAATTATTTGATTCACAATTTTTTTTTTAATTCAGACGGTCACAAAATAATGCACAACACATGTTGAGTGTGTAAAACCATTTGAGTTTGTAAATCTATTTATGTCCTTATCCCTTCCTTATTCCACAAAAATTAATTATGACGTAACTACATATATTAACATGTTCTGTTATTCATTTTTTAAATATTAGGGTCTAATTTCTAAATTTTAAATTGGTATTATAGTTAAAAAGTTATATATATTTTTTTGAATAATCTAAACCAATATAAAATATATAATCTGTACAAGTGGTATAATTCTGAATTAAGAAGTAACAGACAAGATGATGTTAATTTATATGAGAATAAATTTTAAAGTAGTACTTTCAGTTTTGATAAATGAATTAATTATTTAAATTATATCTAATTTAATATTAATAAATTTTTTAATTATCATTCTGTTCATAATATCTGTTTTTATGACTTTTCTATTTTTTTTGAAAAAAAAAACAAAAGAAAAAGCATAAGATTATATATTTTATAATATATTGAGTAAAATAGATAAAAAAATCAAATAATTAATTTATTTTCAAAACTTAAAAGACTAACTTATAATTTACTCAATATAAGACTTATATTGCAAATTGCACTTCTTTTTTTTTTTAAAAAAAAACAGCACATGTATAATGGGTATTGGTTATAAAGTTGAAACCCTAACATAAAAATTATGTATTTTAGGCCTCCTTATGTTTCATGAGTATTGTTTTACTTACAATACACACACGTGCATATACATATACATATATATATATATATATATATATATATAGACACACACACTAGTCATGAGACGTGCATGCTTAAGAATTACTGAAGTTATGTTACTAAGTTCTAGTCAAGGATAATCCCTATCCAAAATAAAATTAAAAAAAAAAGGGAAAACTTGACAGGATAAAGCATATAAAAATACTGATATGTATGAATGTTGAAAAAGAAGTAGCCAGGAGACACGCATACCTAAGGATTACTGAAGTTATCTTACTAAGTTCTAGTCAAGGATAATCCCTATTGAAAAAGAAAAAAGAAAAAAGAAAAACTTGTCAGGGATACAAAACATATGAAAATACTAATATGTATGAATGTTGAAAAAAAGTGGATGCGAATACTTATTTAAAAATACTGATCATATATATATATATATATATATATATATATATCACATGCAAACAATACCGAAGAAGGTCCTTTTATTGTAAAATAAATAATAAAATAGTCTCTTTTGTTTGGAAGATGAATTAATTAATCATTTTAGTTTTAAAAAATAATTATTTAATATTTTTAATCAGTATTGTATTCTTTTGTAATAAGTTTTGTTTTCATATTTTTATTCCTTTTCTATTTATTAAAAAAAGAAATCAAAAAAATTTAAAATATAAAAAAGGTCAAAAATATTAGTTATTGAAAAAAATGATTGTTTAATTTATTTTTTAAAATAAGAGGGATTAATTTATAATTTAACAGCAAAAGAAGGAGCATTAAATATTATATCGAAAGAGAAAGGATAACGATGAGAGATGGACGGAAAAGAAAATTAAAAGGAGAGTAAAAGATGAACATTTTGTTAATAGTGTGGATTCTAACGGTTTCATTTAGTGACAATGAAAAAAAATTAAAAGCAAAAGAGGATGACATTTATAACGCAAAAAAAAAAAAAAAGTGAGTACACAGTAATACGAGAAAGATGAACATTCTATTAATGGTAAAAAATAATGTCCTTTAATGTTTTTTAATTATCATTTACCTTTAATTTATTTTCAATTTTTGTTTATATCAATCATCTTAAAATAATAATTTATCTTCTCTTTTTTGTTTTCTTGGTTACATAATTTTATTTAGTCTACTTTCTTAAAACAGAAAAGCAAATAAAATTAAAAAAGAGCGAAAATAAATAAAATGACAAGAAAATTTTAAAATATAAAGATTAAATAATTTGTTTTTAAAACAAATAGAACTACCCAATTCGTTTATAAGAAATAGTTGGATTAATGCATCATAAAAAAATTAATCTAAAATCATTGGCCAACTATTCCGCCCACAGTACCTTTATATACGGATTACAATGATAGTTAATGTAATTAATTTGTATAATTTGTACAAGAAAAATTTGTATTTTTCCAACGATGATGGAACTTGGTTGGCATGAGCGCCACCCATTCAAGTCATTGATTCGAGCCCAGCTTCAACTTGATAACCCAGCTAGAAGTCTAGAACCCCATATAAATGTATAGCCTGACGAAGAAACAGCAAATATTTTCACAACCAATGAAGCGTTTGATGTGAACATTTGATACTTCCATGTGTAGGAAACGTCATTGGTTGTGACTTGATTGTACATGACACAATCGGCTTGACACTATGGTTACATATGCTCATGGTTTGACTTTGCAAATTGAAGCAATGGAAATAAGGGAGTGGAAAAAATATTGCATAATAAAATGTTCAGGATTAGGTAGATTGAGAGAAATTGTTAAGTCATAATTTATTTATAATTATTATTATTATTTAAATATTATAATAATCAGAAAATATGATAGATGCAATAAAATTTATAATTATATATAGTTATATAAAAAATAATTGAATCACATATTGTTATAAATCTAATAAGTTATACAATTTTGTTTGTTGAATTTTGAATTAATGAATCATTTTACTTTTTTATTAGTAAAAAAAATATTATTAAGTTTTTTGAAATATCATAAGAACATAATTGGTAGATTAAAATTTATTTATACTAATAAAATATTATGATTATTACCTCGGTAAAGTGCTGAGATGAGATGAAAATTTTGAAGTTCAATTTGTCTATATTATATAATATTTAACTATCTGTTAAGTGTCTTGAAAAGACACCCTTAGTATTTTATGAACTGAAACTAAGCTAGTCCTCCTCCACGATAAGACAGTGTCAGATGGATAAGCACCACATCACCACCCATCCCGCAGGCCACAGTGGGTTCAGAGGGCGGCCATGTAGTCATCATCTACAATGGCTGGGCTATAACTTTTTCAGCATGGGTGGGTCCATTAAGCATGGAAGTGCCTACAAGTGTGCAAATGAAGTAAATGATTTTTCAAATTCACGTAGATACCTTGCGTGCCTGATCTCATACAGTACAGTATTGCCAGTGCTAAATTGCCATCGCCGAGCTAGACAACTGCATGCCTTCACTTCATGCCGTCACATCACTATCCCGCCCCAATATCCCGCCTAACTCCCAACCATGCTGCCCAAATATCCCGCCCACGAGACCTGCTCCTCCAGAATTTCAAATTCAAATTAACATCCATGTCTCTCCTCTCTTTTAACATTAAATAAATACTTCCTATCTCTTATTCATACATGGCCTACTTAACTCCTTATTCGATCTGGTCTATGACCAACTTGGTCGCAATTTTCATTTTTTGGTACTTGTTATTTTCAATTTTGATTGCAGAGCTCTCTTTGATCTTCAATAACTCTGATCTCTTTACCAATATAGCTCCTTATCTACCTCTAGGTTTCTCCTTCGCCTCGGTTAATGCTTCTTTCTCTCCCTCCTAGCTCTCATAAACCGCGTCATGCATCTTACTTTTATGGAGGTTTTATGGGATTTTTAGTGTACTTACGTTTTAACCAAAGCAAAGAAATGCGTCGAAATCTGGGTGACGACATACATTATGCGAATCCAATCATTCCCTTGACGAGGAAGACAAGCAAGGTAGATGTGGTACGAGGTGTCGTTCAAATCATGTAAGGACTTTTTAAATAGACTCTGTTAATGTGCTATGTTTTAGGTTATTGTCACAGAATCTGTGCAAGAAGCAAAGTTGATGAAGTCTCGACGGCATTAGTACACAGTATGGGTTCCGAGACATTGCATGGATGTATGTCGGAGCATGAGAGGGAGAGAACTGTGAATGATTTTGGTCGGGAAAAGTGCATTGTGCATGTTGCCGCAGACGTCGCATTTCGTGGGCTTGATATCCCGAATGGTGATTTGGTGAAGTTATGGAATTGATTTTGTAATGATTGCATAAAGAACTGTTATTTTTTGGGTTTATTTTTATGCTAATCGGTTTTATACAATCTAACAATCTGCAGGAATTAAGGAGAAGAAAGCAAGCTTTTGTAAGGGAAAAAACCCGACAAGTACTCCTTACATCGGAGGTAATAATGTCCAAAACTTGTGTTTTCAAATGCAGTGGCTCCCAATCTGACTTCTTAGTTTTGTATTTCTTTGACAATTATTGTTTCATGAGTTGCACAGGTGCATGGGTATTGTTTCTTTGACGTTAATAGATATTCCTTATCAAAGGGACTGGAGCAAATGAGTGTTCCTTGTAAATCTCTCAGCTACAAAGGGCATCAACACCTCACATCCCTTGAAGAATTGAGAATCGAATCTCTCCTTGCCCGCCGCATGCAATGGGATTTGCAATCAAATATTAATTTGCATAACATTATTTGTATGTATTCATAGAATGAATTAATATTTTTGTTTAGAGTTTGAAAACAACAAATCGGAAAAAGAAAAACAATTTAGAAATATTAAATTATGAAAGAACAAAATAAATTGAGAATATGAAATAAAGAATCGAAAATACAAGAATAAACAAATCGAAAACAAAAGGAAAAGGAAAAAACAGAAAAATTATAAGGAAAAAACATGGAAAAAATCTGAAATAATAAATTTGAAACAAACAAAAAAATCTGTAAATAAAAAATTCAAAAAAAAAGACGAAAAAATAAAAGAAAAGAAAAAGACACATAAAAGCAAATAAAATTTGGAAAGAAAAGTAATCGAAAAATAAAAAAAACGAAATACAACATTTTTTTCTTAATATAAAATTTTTGAAATAAAAAATTAATCACAGAGTAGATGAAAATAAAAATAAAAATAAATAACAACTAAATCGAAAAAGCTTAAAAAAGAAGAAAAAAACAAATAGATAAAGCGTAAAAATGAAATCAAGATAAAATTGAAAACGAAAAAAACTAAAGAATAGAAAAAATTACCAAAAAGGAAATAAAATTTAGAAAGAAAATGAATTTAAAAATGAACAAATAGAACGATAAACGAAGGAAAAAAAGAAATAAAAATTTAAACATATAAAATTATGAAATAAATATAAAAATTAAGATCAACCAACATCAAAGATAAAAGTAAAAAACAAAAAAAATTAGAAGATAAAAATTTAAAACTGAAAACAGAAAATAAATAAGAAAATCAAAAAGCAGAAAAAGTCGAACGAAATTTGCAAAGAAACATAAATAAAAAACTTACAAAAAAACAAAAAAAAACCCAAAAACCAATGAAAAACAGTAAAAAAAAATGAAATAAAAAATAAAAAGACAAGATGAAAATAAAAATAAAGAACAACCAAATTGAAAAACTAAAGCAAAACTACAAAACAAAAAGTAAA